GAAATAATAATATAATATTGAGGAGAGAGAAAAAAATTCATTTTTAGAGAGTAAAATAGAGAATTGGGTTGGAGTTGGTTGTCTGAAAAAATAGAGAGCTCTATATTTGGAGAGTAAAATAAAGGATTGAACTGGAGATGCCCTTACACCATCTTCAACCCACATCTATTTTACTCTCCATTCTCTATATTTGGAGAGTAAATTGGAGAATGGACACTCCAATCCAACTCTATATCACCCTCTATTCTTCATATTTAGAGAGGTGAATAGTAGTTCTCCGAATTTGGAGAACTACTATTCACACTCTCTATTTCACTTTTTAAATATATTATTATTATTTCTATTACTTTCTAATTAACATATTATTTTACATATAATGTCATTAATTAAATATTTACTATTCATACTTCTTTTTAAATGTAATATAATATTTTTGAAAATATATTATTTAATATATACTACTTTCATCCCGAATCAATAGTATTTTATATTTTTAAAATTTTCGTTGATAATATAATTTGATTTTATTATTAATTTTCATTATAAAGAATACACAAAATTAAAATGATAAGATGAAAATTTTAATTTAAAAATACAATACATAATATGATAATTAAAATACAAGATAACAATACAATACATAACACAATAATTTAAATGCAAGATAAAATATAATACATAACATAATAATTAATTCGCGATGAAACAAGAATCATGCCGAAAAGATTTTGAACGTGTATTCGGAGTTTTACAATCACGTTTGCAATTTTGCAGGACCGTCACGTTTTTGGAGAAAGAAAGTGCTACATGATATAATGACTACATGCATTATACTGCACAACATGATAATTGAGGATCAACGTGATCTTAATGCACCAATTCAAGATGTCGTAGAGGCTCCAACTCCAACGACATAAATGGTGATAGATGAAAATCTCCGATTTAAACAACTTCTAGCTAGACATAAAAAAATTAAGGACAAAAATGCTCATTTTGAACTCCATAATGCATTAATAGAGAATTTATGGGAGCAACGTAATAATTTTGAAAATTGAGTGTTTATGTAATTGTATTTCACTTTTATTTGAATTTGTCCATTAATTTGTATATTATATAATATTTTCTTGCAATTTATGTTATATAAAATTTAGAATAAAATATAAGTTTATATTAAATAAAAAAAATAAAATTTTAGATCACATGAAAATTATATAAAGTAATTATTGGGAAAAAAGAAATAAAGAATTTATACTATGAAATAAGAAACTAAGAATGAAATAGAAATAATAATATAATATTGAGGAGAGAGAAAAAAATTCATTTTTAGAGAGTAAAATAGAGAATTGGGTTAGAGTTGGTTGTCTGAAAAAATAGAAAACTCTATATTTAGAGAGTAAAATAGAGTGTAGGGTTCAAGATTCCCTCAATGATATTAATAATTGTTGATTAAACAAATAAATAAAATTATTTAAAACTCCCAATCAACAGCTGTATGTATTTGTACCCACGTTTTCTATCGGAAAAGATAACTTTGTTTACGCTCCTTCCTTTTTATATTATTTAACTCAAGTTGATCTGATATTTGACTTGATACCGTATTAAAAAATAAAGAAGATTTTTTATGGTCTCCAATCAAAGTTATGTTAAACGTATTAAAATATTTTTTAATCTTATGATTTTAACTTTTAAGCATGTCATATGAAAAGTAGAAATTAAAACGTTGTCAAAAAATAAAAAAGAAGATCATTTTTTTTAACGAAGTACCCCTATATTTTATTTTACTAGTTCTGGGCACGTGTGTCTCATGCTAAATTGTGTAGAGTTATTATAACGATATATATATATATATACACACGTACTTGGACATGTATGTTGCTCGTGTATCCCATGCTAATTAAGTACAAGAACTTTGAAAATATTATAATAAGTGTGTGATAGTTACACAAAAATTGAAGAAAAATATACAAGCTCAAACCAGTAACTTCAATTATGCAATTCTTATAATATATCAAGTATTCAATTTGATAAAAGTTTCTTTTGTTTAATATGTCATAACTCATAATTTAAATGTCAAGTGTGATTTCAAAATATTTCTTGTATTAAGTTTTTTATATTCTTTTTCACCTTTGTAGTCTCCACCTTTTCACATTTGCATACGTATTAAAAAGTTGTTGTCGAATAAGAGTAGTGTTTTATATAGAAATTTGATCAATATATGTCTTCCTTGCATCTCCAACCCTACACTTTATTTTACTCTCCAAATATAGAGTTTTCTATTTTTCAGACAACCAACTTCAACCCAATTTTCTATTTTACTCTCTAAAAAAGAATCTTTTTCTCTCTTCTCAATATTATATTATTATTTCTATTTCATTCTTATTTTCTTATTTCATAGTATAAATCCTTTATTTCTTTTTCCCAATAATTACTTTATATAATCTTCATGTGATATAAAATTTTATTTTTTTTATTTAATATAAAATTATATTTTATTCTAAATTTTAAATAACATAAATTGCAAGAAAATATTATATAATATACAAATTAATGGACAAATGCAAATAAAAGTGAAATACAATTACATAAACACTCAATTTTCAAAATTATTGCGTTGCTCCCATAAATTCTCTATTAATGTATTACAGAGTTCAAAATGAGCATTTTTGTTTTTTTTATGTCTAGCTAGAAGTTGTTAAATTCGGAGATTTTCATCTACCACCATTTATGTCGTTGGAGTTGGAGCCTCTACGACATCTTGAATTGGTGCATTAAGATCACGTGATCCTCAATTATCATATTGTGCAGTATAATGCATGTAGTCATTATATCATGTAGCACTTTCTTTCTCCAAAAACGTGACGGTCCTGCAAAAATTGCATAACGTGATTGTAAAACTCCGAATACACGTTCAACATCTTTTCGGCATGATTCTTGTTTCATCGCAAATTAATTATTATGGTTATGTATTGTATTTTATCTTGCATTTAAATTATTATGTTATGTATTGTATTGTTATCTTGTATTTTATTTATCATATTATGTGTTGTATTTTTAAGTTAAATTTTTCATCTTATCATTTTAATTTTGTGTATTCTTTATAGTGAAAATTAATAATAAAATCAAATTATATTATCGACGAAAATTAAAAAAAAATTAAAATACTATTAATTCGGGATGAAAGTAGTATATATTTAATATATTTTTTGAAATATTATATTACATTTAAAAGAAGTATGAATAGTATATATTTAATTAATGGAATTATATGTAAAATAATATGTTAATTAGAAAGTAATAGAAATAATAATAAAATATTCAAAAAATGAAATAGAGAGTATGAATAGTAGTTCTCCAAATTAGGAGAACTACTATTCACCTCTCTAAATATGAAGAATAGAGGGTGATATAGAGTTGAGTTGGAGTGTCCATTCTCTATTTTTACTCTCCAAATATAGAGAATGGAGAGTAAAATAGAGGTGGGTTGGAGATGGTCAAATGGCTATTAGATGATCATTAATGTGCAATAACTTGCATAGAATTTGAAGAGAAAATATACAAGCTCAAACCAATGAATGATGAGCCTATTTAATCAAGATTATTATCAGTACCAGGTATCATGCTGAAATATTTCTATCAAATGAATTTCAAAAGTAATATTCGAACAATTTTAATTATGTAACTTTTTTAATATATCAGGTATTCAACTTGATAAAAGTTCTTTTTAATATGTCACAACACATAAATTAAGTGTCTCTTATTGGTTCAAAATATTTCATGTTCTAAAATTTTTGCCTTCTTT